ATCGTGTTGTCAAACTTTTTTATAAAAAATACATTTCGGCGATTTCTCTCTTTCTCACGTGTTTCTCATTATGTAAAATAACTGGTAATGACCAATCGAAGTCATGATTAAATTCAACTTTATGTTTACTGATAACAGAAAAATTACTTTCGTGCACTTTTATGTTGTTGCGATGTTCTTTTACACGAGTGCTTACATGTCTTTTTGTTTGGCCAATATATGACTTGTTACAATTTTTGCAGTCTAATTTGTAAACGACTTCCGTCCTGTTATTAATAGGCAGCCTGTCTTTACCACGTTTAATTAATGCGTTGAGTTTTTTAGGCACATTGTAGACGACATTAATACCTACATTTTTAAAAACGCGACCAATTTCACTACTCAAGCCCTCCACAAACGGCAAGGAGATGTACGAGGATGTAACTGAATTGTCGGATTCATTGTCCATATTTGCGTTATTACGGTGTTTTAAAAAATATAATCTTTTTTGTACATAGCGGTTAATAATATGATTTGGAAAGCAATTGTTGGAAAGAATCTGCTTAACGATCAATATTTTTGGAATGAAATCGAGTGTCTGCCAATAAAATGGCGTGGTCAACAAGATTGTAGAATAAAAATTAGTATATCTATTGGAACAGGTGTTATATATATGTACAGGAAATATAATATGATATTGATACAAAAAATTGATATAAAAAATATGATATAAAATATTGATGCTAAAAAAGAAAGTGCGTGAAGGGGAGGGGGGATGCAGAATACATCACATTGTTCATACAATGATTTTACGCGCGACTTTCCCTTCTCCACTTGTGTAGATACTCGAATTATTCGTCGCTTTCGGCGTGTGTTCTTGCGCAACCGACGATGCAGGGCATCCCTCGTCGAGACGAGAGCTCGGGGAAAATCTCGCGCGTCTTGGGAATCGTCGCAACCTGCGGCCGGAGGCAGGTAACCGTACGCAAGTTAGCCGAGGCCGCGAATAGTCGCGCGAGAGTGAGTCCGCGTCAGTCAAACGCGTGCTATTATGTTGTAAATCATCGGTGATTGTCTGAACTGGAACTCCAGCGGTGGCGAGATGCGTTGCCCGGCTAGTAATAATCAATTTATGCACTTCATCGGCCGCAATAAATTTGTTATTAGCCGCAGCCGTCACCGCGTTAGCTTATGCTAGGCTGGATCGCTCCAGGATCGGATGAGAAGAAGAGATCTCGCAGCTCGCGACGAAAAGGAGTCAATCGTAAACGCGAAAAGCGAATGAAATGAATTTTCCGAATTTTATTCATACCATCAGAAAAGAAGACATGGGTCCTGATCGATTTGTAAAAAAAAATTCAACGATAAAATATATGAGACCTCCTGCCGACTCTGAGTCCGATCCTGGATCGATCGAATCTGCGCGGTAGAGAGACCTATAAATAGATCCCTAGATCACGCGAACCTCGCACACACTGATACAATATCGGGTGACGCATACGTTTTGTCGCCTTCTTCGCGGGAGATGTAATATCGTGTTTGATGGACAACGCGATGGTGTCGATGGATCGATCGATTGATGATCCTGCGATCCGGCGCAATTACGCGCGGGTTTGTTGGATACGAAATCATCGAGACTCATTAGTCTTTGTTATATAATTACATAATGGCAATTTGATTGCGAGGACCTCATTTTTGATGGCTGGGAGTCATCGCGAAAATGAATAGTGAATATAAATATGTTAGCTGCGTCTTTTTACCAGCCAATGTTATTATTATTATTTTAATGCTTTATCACGATAATGGAAATGTCACTTTCATGATTTATAATATTTCTAATTTTGGCATAATTTGTGCCTTTTACTCTTATTCGAAATTAATTGAAATCCTTAATCCATCATTATTTGCGATCGTTTATGACATTGTGATAGACATAGATCGATAATCATTAACTTTAAATTATGTAATTATAATTAATCAGTTCACTAATATATATATTTGTATATTTATATATTTGTATATTTTTATATTATTATATTTTTTATATATTCTTGTCGTGTATTTACCGTTATGGTTTTATTAATTTCTATATTATTTGATGTAATTATCGATGATTAATATATAATTAGCTTTGATGACTCAATTTTATAACTAAGCTCTCAATGCCTTTTCTCGAATTTTATTTTATTTTTATTTTATTTTATTTTATTTTTATTTTATTTTTATTTTAAATTATGTGTTCGACAAAAAATTAAAATTAAAATTAAAATTTTCTTCTAGATTTATCGAAAAAAAATTAGTCACTTTACGCAATCTACGAATTAACTAAATGTGAAATTTTTAATTAAAAAGAATTAAAGTACATTTCATGAAAACTCAAGTTTTCCTGGCAATTAACAGTCTGTGTTGCACGAAGCCGCAAAGAGTTTTCGGTAAATTAAAATCCGCCAGTGGGCGTAAACCCTTCGAATTCATCGGGACGCGACCGTTCCTTTTCCTCTTTGGGACCGGCTTTCATTTGGTGCGTATTAGTGGAGGATAATGAACTTTTCGAGGCTGCTCGCCGCCTTTTGCGAGAATGACTCCGAATTCCCGAAAAACGAGAGAAGACAAATGGAAATACGCCCGCGAGAGTCCCTGAATTTTTCTCGCAGGACAGAATCCGCCTTTTTTTCAAGAACAAACGGGTTAAGTTAAGTCGCACAGATTCTCACGGTACATAAGAAAACAAAATTATCGTCTGCATTATAAAAGCCAAGTGTAAATATTCGATAATTAACGTACACGTGTACGTTGTGGTTGAGTGCCATGTGACATATTGCGTTGTAACAATTCGACAAACTCGCTCCACGTGAAACGTCAAAAACACATCATGACTAGTCTTACCAATATCAAAAATAGATAGCTCTAAATAAGATTCGTCAATAAAGATGTTTTTGCACGACCTCTGCTACGCGATATTGACACGGTGCGTTTAATCAGCGTTGCAAATACGCTAAATTGCACCACAATATAGCCTGATTATCGATAATTCCGAGAGCCGGTGCCGTCTCAAAGACGTCATTCGTCATGTATTTACTTTATACTATTTATCGAGCGCGTAAACTCGCCTTACGAAATATCCCGCAATTGTATGTATAATAAAAATCTCGTAATAAGTGTTGCCATAAATTTCATTATATTTTACTCCACATTTTTTCTATATCTTAAAGTGGATATTTTTCCGAAAGTAATATTAGAGATATTTTTACAAAGATAATAACACAAAATATTATTTGTAAAAAGAAATATCGGCATTGAATATTAATTAAATCATAGGCTACATCTGTTGTTAAAATTTCATACATTTATATCGAAGATTACCTTTGATTTTTCCGAGTCTCAAAATTGTACTACACGATTTTTGTTTAAAAAAAATTTCAAAGAATACGTGCGAATCTTGTAAAACTGTCAAAGCTGTTGACACTTTTTCGATCTGACAATCTGGTAAAGCACAGCACGGGACAAAAAGAAATAGAAGCTGACGGCTTCAGGTAAACAGAGATCAATTCAAGCTACGAGAAAATATTTTGCCAACATGCACCTCCAGCAATGATACATTACATCACTGTGTATCTTAAAATTCAGATATTTTACACTTTGCCATGAATTTTTAAGGTACATATTTTGAGGCTATTAATAATTTTAGCTTGTCAATCTTCTCTCTCGTTGTCAACCATAACATTCGAATTTTAATGGTTGCGCTATCAATTAGTGTCAGTTAGCTACGTTTATTTTTATACGTATCCATGTAATATTGAATAAAGACCTACATTAAGAAAGTTTTACTAGCAATATCATTTATAATATCCATGTGAGTTTTAATAGCTTTTTACTAGACGTGCCAAACGCTTTCCCTAGTTCGCATTTGACATCAGCGACCTGGAAAGTTTCGCAAGAAAATGATTTTCGCTTCTATCTTGCGAAACGTATTGTATTCCATGTGCGTACCACATATCCATTAATATAACACCTGTGTCCTTATTGTGTGTGTATATTATATATTGATAAGTAAAAATAAGAAAAATGTTACATTTCTTTTTTTTAATCTTTTTCCCTAGTTTCATAATTACTATTAAGAAATAGCAATAATTAATATGAATTAATATTTATTAATATAAATTATTAATATAAATTATTATTTATAATATTTATATTATTAATATAGATTATTATTTATAATATTTATATTATTAATATAAATTAATATAAATAATTAATAAATATTAGTTATATAATATTATATTTATTAAATAATTAATAAATATAAATATTGTAGATAATGAGCCGATAGGAGCAAAAATAATGATTAAAATACGCGAAATATTAAATAGAATTCATACATATTCGTCGTAGAATTAAAAAAAAAATTGGAACGTCACCGATTTGCGAGACTCGAGGAAGAACAAGAGGATAAATAAAATCCAATTAGCGCGAGAATAGGAGGGGGCGAAAAATACGGGGATGTGAAACCGTGAAGCTCGACGGCACAGACGTATCTCCAATGTCAAGAACGCGATCCCGGGACCGTGCGTGCCACTCGATCGGGGCGCCTTCCTTCCTTTTTTTCTCGCCCCGATCGCCTTTTGACTCCGGACGCAAAGAGGGCCCCGAGAGGAGCCCCCAGCGAAGAGAAGACGAAGGAAGATGAGGGGCGTGTCCGGTCGCGCGGCTTCTACAAAGAGATGCCCACTTCCCAGTGGACTCCTTCCACCTCCTCGGGGATCCCCTTCCACGTGGGCCCCGGGACTCCGTCCGTCTCGTCGTTTCCCCTACCAGCGGGACCCCAAGAAAACCGGACGGCATGGTCCAGACCACGAGATCGTCAGGTAAAGTCAGTTTACGCAACGCTTCCGTACACGAAGCATACACGACGGAAGGTCTCAGACGGAAGCCGGACGTGAAAGCTGACGAACGTAGTCTTATACGTTCCCCAAATATCCTACGCCTTACACCTTTAGAGTCATCCCTAACAGCATCGAACATTGGTATCGGCCTAAACGTTGCAGAAATTTTACGAAAAAGGCGATGACAGTCGGTTGAGGCGACTTTGGAGATCAGTCTCTCGGAAGATTATGATATAAGGTCACCGGTAGAACCGAGGATCAATCATCCGGTACGCGCAGACACGAGAATGACAACTTACGCGGCCTTCCAACAGTACGATCTCCTGGACTCCGAAGGCTACGGATCGGCGAGTAGCCCGGAATCGAATCCGCGTGGCAATTGGCATCACCAGGAGATCTATCCGCAGCCGCCGCGATCCAGGGGCAGCAGCTGCGGCAGCGTCAGCTCCGTAGACAGCCACCACCAGCAGGAGTACCAAGAGATCGGTAGCACCCCAAATGGCAGCCTCCACGTGACAGCTGGCTTCAACTTTGGCGACTTCTACGAGGGCTATTATCAGGAGAGTGGCTGTCGGAACGAGCATCAGCCAACGTTGAACAGCGTCCGAAATATCAAAGATCATCACCCCAAGATGACTTACAGAATGAACGAGCAGTGCATGTCTTACGACGATGCAACGTCCAGGATGACTTTCAACGAGAGTAGCGTAAACAAGCAAGAGCCCGCGGGATACGTTCCAAAAATGGACCATCATCCAGGGATGTTTGCGAGTTCCAGAATCGACTTTGGGCAGAGTCAGGAGGCAATTTTCGCCACGAAAAGCTACGTAAAAAACGGTATCTATCATCCGAGGAATGAAAGTCACCCTTATACTCAGAGAACGGATGTTCTCTACCTAGGCGCCGCTTATAACGTGCCGAGGAATGAAGCTAACTTGGCGAACGGTCAGCCGGGCAAATGCGATCAGTCGAGGTACCATCAGAGAAACGAGAGTCTTCACGTTCTGCCAGCGGAATACATCGGGCAAAAGTCCAAGGAACCGGCGGTGCAGAAGATGAAGAACAGCACGCCCGGCATCGAAGTACTAAGGAAAAGGCGACTGGCGGCGAACGCCAGAGAAAGAAGGAGAATGAACAGCTTGAACGACGCTTTCGACAGACTCCGGGATGTCGTTCCCAGTTTGGGTAACGACAGAAAGCTCAGCAAGTTCGAGACCCTACAAATGGCGCAAACTTATATCTCCGCGCTTTACGAACTGCTCCAGCGCGAATAAACACGAGTTTCACGACAGAAATTCTCTTGTTCGAAAGGAGATCGAGCGTACTACTCGATGTCATCGTGATGGATCCTTGAAGCTCGCGAAATATCGAATATGGGACTTGGAAAATGACGAGATAATTCGCGTTTTTGAAAAGATTGACGAAAATCTCGAGTACCGAAGTTAACCAGATCGGACATCGTCTTCGTGGGATTCTGCAGGGGTGCTTCCCGTTTGAGTTTCCACCGTTCGAGACGCTGATTGAAAGATCGAGCCTTCAAGATCCGTCCTTCCTTCGAGACAGACTTCAACTGCAGGTAATGACGAATTGCCGGGATACCGAGAAGGAGACGGCTCGCTCGCGGAAAGCATGAGAATTAACGAGCAAACTGGGACTCGCGACTTCATTAACTTGTAAATGAGTCACTCAACCACGGCGACATCGACCGTAAACGGAGAGCAGAAGTACGTAAGCAGAAAAACACAATACCGGCGTTGTTATCGCGGTCAAAGTTTTCAGGAGGTTCGCTCGTTAGACATGTCAAAGCTCGATTGACATGTCAAAAAATGTCGAAAAATCGCCCTTTCCCTTTTTACTGGCATCGCTGATGTATAATGCATTATCATTAAGGTTCAATACGAAACATTCAAAATCGGATGAGCCATCAATAATGTTCTTTGACGAAAAGAATTAATTTTATTATTATTACATAATATTTATCTATCTAAAATAATTTTTCTATCCTTCAAATATATATTTTTTCTTTGAAGATTAAACACATATATCTCTTTATGTAAGTAAATTAAATTATTCTTTCAATTCTTAAAAAAAATCATATTTATCTGCATTCAAAATCGGATGAGCCATCAATAATGTTCTTTAAAAAAGGAAAGAATTAATTTTATGGTTATTACATAATATTTATCTATCTAAAATAATTTTTCTATCCTTCAAATATATATTTTTCTTTGAAGATTAAACACATATATCTCTTTATGTAAGTAAATTAAATTATTCTTTCGATTCTTAAAAAAAAATCAGATTTATCTGTCATTGGGGAGATCAAAAAAATATACGATGTCAAAACTGATTACGAAGTTGACGGATAAAAAGTCACTTTTTGTACAGGTTGTACTTAATCGAGCGCGGTAATTCATCGTAGATACTTATCCCGGCATCGTTGCGGGATTCCGGGACGTTTTTTCCAATCGGTCGTGATAGGATCGAAGCGAAGAGCGGAAAAAGGCGCGAGCGACCGGTCCCAGGATTCTCCTGGAAGAGAGCACCAGCCTCAAAGATCGCGATAGAATAGAAGATTGAAATAGAATTTCATATCGATCGATATATTTCCAATTATTGATAAGTATCATTAACGTTAAAAGGGACATTTCGCGCAAAATTTTTCAATAATTATACTAAAAATCTTTCCTGACAGAGAACACCATTGAGCACAGTAAAAAATTTTGTGTTAAATTTAACATATTTCCCATGTCCCAATTTATTCATTCTAATTTTAATGTTAATTTAACAGAAGGCAAGTATGTAAAGAAATAACACAAGTAATATGTTTAAAAATTACACAAAAGTGTAACACTTAAACTTTATCTGGAAATAAAGTTTATGTTAAATTAACATATTTATAATGTTAAATTTAATTAAAAGAAAATGTTATTCTTACATTTTTATGATCAATAACAGAAGAAATATGTCGATTTAACATCTGGAAACTGTTATAGAGAGAAAAATAACACAATTTATCTGTTAATTTTAACATATAACAAATTTCATCAAAAATTCGTGCATTCACATATTAATTGTGTTGTTTTAACTCTTAGAAACGGTGAATACTAACTCAACGCAGAAATGTCAAAATAACGCAACGATAATATGTTACATTAACATAAGAGTATGTTAAAAATTTAACACAAAAATTTTTACACGAGAAAATTTTAACAGAAATGCAAAATGTTTTTTACCGTGTGGGCAAATGGGCAGGTCAGGGCGCATAAAATGCGACGCATCGACTGTAATACCGAGAGCAGCTTTGTTTCCAACCCTCCCCCACACCGAGCTAGAACGGCGGGGGCGTACTCGCCTCGAGTTTAATTGTAAATAGGTACACCATCGTACATTGTCGTCCGTGCAGGGCACCGTGTAAATATCTGATTCAAGACGCGTTTAACTTATTGCGAGGCTGTATAGGTGATTCTGTACATAGATACGTACGTATTATATGCGTGCATTGCGGGGGCAGCAGCATACGTGCGCATGCGCGCGATCGTTCATTGATGCCACGAGAGTCGGTGATAAATATCGATTGAGGAGTTCACCCTAAAAGGGCGCGTAAATTATTACAATAATTCAGACAAGAACAAAGTATTTTTTTAAAATGATATTTTTTTAAAGATACAAATAGAAGGATAATCTTAAGAATTAAATCAAAATTCGCATAAGAACCACAATTTTGATTTAATTTTAATTTATTTATTTGAGCCAAATTCCTAATTGTCAATTTTAATCTTAAAAAATAATTGCTAAAAGAAAAAAGTTTATTACAAATGAAGATCGAAAGAAATGATTAGCAATATGATTGATATTTTTTTCCTTTTCGAGTGAACTCCATACAATTTTTCAATTTGTCTATACTGAGAAAAAAATCTGATTGCATTAATTAGAATTCTGGTAGATTCAACTAGTATGTCTGTTGGAAAATGAACGAACCAGAATTCTTGGAATTATCAGAATCTGATTAATTTCTTCCTGTTAAATTTACCAAATTTTCTGGTTAATAATATTAAACTCAAGTACCAAGTAGTCTAAAATTTTTTCCATCTCAAAAGCCTGTTTAATATTCTGAATTCCAACAAGATTATTGGATAAATTCGATCTAGATTATTATATAAATTATTTTAAATTCAGTTTGTTAGAAATTAAACTGATAAACAGTGATGCAAAAAGAGGATGCAGCTCAAACGCACACAATCAGAGAACCTAGCGTCCTCTTTCTGACACTACTGCTCGTAAGAGAAAAAAAATATACTTTGGATTTAATGTTAATACTAGTTTTTTATATACATTTCATGGCAAATATTGAATACGAGTTAAATTAAGAGTAGCTTGCCGCCTGCGGCAAGCAAAGAAATTAATGTAACAAGAAATTTTATAGATCCAACCAGAAAATACTATCCTTATAGTAAAATTTATTAAACGTTCTAGTTATAAAAATCGAGTCTTATCTTGATAACTAGAAATTCTTGTTTGATTTAACCAAAATGCCTTCAATCATATACGTTTTATTGGTACAATCAAACGATTTTTCTCAGCGTAGTATTATGTCCGCCTCGTGTTACCTGAGTATTCTTCTCTAGCTCTACTGCTCAATGACAGTGATTAGAATAATTTTAGATAATTACACATTATCTCGAAAGCGATTGTGGTTCTATTTTTAATCGCCTTAAATGCGAGAAATCTCACGCTTGGCGCAAGAAAGCGCTCGTAACGCGTCAATTAGAGAAACGAGAAATAAAACAGGTAGAAAAACGATGAGAGTCAATTCATCGCACCGATGCTGTTTATACATCGAGCCGTCAATTCGATATTAATTACAATGATCGACAAATCGCGAATCATTATCAGCGCACGTAATAACGATGACAATCAGCCGCAACAATTACGATAACACCTAGTTATCTCGATATATCCATCGAGATATACGAGCGGATTATCAGCAGCATCGTCGAGCCAGGAACTCGTAATCCGAAGGGATCATAATATATTCGCGAATCACAATCGGTTCTCGATCGGATCGACCGTCGCGACGCTTCTTTCGCCTCGAGCGCGAGGCGGGACGCGTGACTGGAATAATCTCATTCGGTCGCGATTCAAGTCGCGACGCGCCTCTCGCGCAATTAAAGATATGCAAAAATCACGGGACAAATGGCGGCGGCCGGCCACCTCCACTTAGCAGTCAATCACAATTAAATACAATTTTGCGCGGACCGCGGGGCCCGGTAATGGCGCAAAAAGAGAGCAAATTGAAATCTCCTAGCTGACAGAATGATAGATGGTGCCGGCCAGACGTGAGAAGACGCGAGAGCGAGAGAGACGAGAGAGAGAGAAAGAGAGAGAGAGAGAGAGAGAAGCGGGACGAGGAGGATGAAGAGAGAAAAGCGGAGAAACAGTCTTTCTTCCATTCTCGATGTGAGAAAGCTCTTCCCCTCCGAGGAAGAATGAAAACACAGAGAGAGAAGTAAGTCGGGAGCTGATGATAGCGCCACTGCGAGGCCGATTTCTCTCGCTAATATCGCTAATCCTCTCCATCTGTTGAAGATGAGGATCTGATCTTTGCGCGGAGCAGCGGTAATTTATATCGATCGGAACGCGGAGAATGAGACGTGAGGGGGCGAGGGATGGGGAAGAGCTCATTCTCTCTTCTATAACCGCGGTCATTATGGCAGCGCCGTTTAGAATCGCAGATTAGTTACGCGCACCTCGAAATAAAGCGCGATGATTATTCGCGATGATAAGCCGCCTACCATCATTGTAACATTATTCTCCATTCTTATAAAGTTTACATAAATAAAAATCGCAAGTAGAGGTAAAGCATCATGCGCGAATAAATCTCTCTTGAAATTTTACATGTATAATATATAATATTGCTCGAAAAATAGACATAAATTCAGAAATGATTTTTCTTTGCAGATTTTCGTATTTTGAAAAATATTTTTGTATTTTGAAAGCATCACGCGCGAATAAATTTCTCTTGAAACTTTACATATACAATATATATTATTGCTCGAAAAATACACATAATTTCATAAATAATTTTTCTTTGCAGATTTTTGTATTTTGAAAGCATCACGCGCGAATAAATTTCTCTTGAAATTTTACATATACAATATATATTATTGCTCGAAAAATATACATAAATTCAGAAATGATTTTTCTTTGCAGATTTTCGTATTTTGAAAAATATTTTTGTATTTTGAAAGCATCACGCGCGAATAAATTTCTCTTGAAACTTTACATATATAATGTATATATTATTGCTCGAAAAATACACATAATTTCAGAAATAATTTTTCTTTGCAGATTTTTGTCTTTTGAAAGCATTACACGCGCAAATAAATTTCTCTTGAAACTTTACATATACAATATATATTATTGCTCGAAAGGTACACATAAATTCAGAAATAATTTTTCTTTATAGATTTTTGTATTTTGAAAAATATTCTTGTATTTTAAAAGCATCACGCGCGAATAAATTTCTCTTGAAATTTTACGTATATAATATATATATTATTGCTCGAAAAATATACACATAATTTCAGAAATCATTTCTTTTTATAGATTTTTAAAAAATATTTTTTGAAAAATATGATCGCAACGAAAGAAAAAAATGTACGCATCCGTCGTTGCAATATAACACTTTATAGTCGCCACATTCCGCGTCCCATTATAGAAACTCCGCGTTGTAATAGCAGCGTTATAAAAGGAGACGATAAGTCGCGCTCATCCACCTGCTCGGTAATCAAATCGCGGGATTAAATTGCCCACGATTTCGCGTCTCCGCGCGTCTCACGGGG